AGCACCCAGAGGCTGTGCATAGCCTACTTTACCTACAACAGAAACACTGAAGGCTGTGTATAGCCTACTTTACCTACGTCAGAAGCAGTGAAGGTTCCTCTCTAAGCTATTTTCAGTTCCTTTTTTTACCCCCATTTACTGAATACCCCCGCATACATATATTTTTTCATTTATCATCTGCCCTCCTATGCTAATCATGTCTTTTCTTATAACTCATTAATATTTTTGTCAAGCTTATATATCATGAGTTCTTTGCCTCTCCACTTTGCTGTTTCTCCTCAACTATTCTTTGGCAGTGAAATTAATGCCACACTGTCTATTACTTTCGTTGAAATTTATACTTCCTTGCTCTGGTTTGAATAATTATTTTTATTAACATCCACTAATTTTTTTTTTTAGTTTCGAGATCCTTTTTCACATCTCTTCCTTATTACCCTTGTTTCCCACTTGTTCCCTCTCGTTTCACTGGTGTAAAAATCACTAGCTTCTTGGCGTAAAATTTAGCGCTCGTCTTTATAAAATAATAGTACACTCATTTGTTTACAATTCATCGAGAAATGAACCAGCACGTTGAATGCACTTCGTCAGAATTTTTCTGAAGGTAGCTACAGTTATGAGAATTATTTCATAAGACTGTCACACTTCCTACTTAGACCATCACGGATATGTAAATCAGATGCAAAAGATTAGGTAACTCAATATATGCATAACATTTGACCAGAAGATATTCTCTCAATAACTTCACGCAGTTGATTTACATCCCTCGAAACTCTTTCCTTAAATAGGGCAATCCTCAAAAGTTTGGAGCATTTTGTCCAGCATTTCAGGAACCACAAAAGTCACCTGCACATCATTAGCCACGTTTCATCCTCCTTTGCACCATCATATATATATATATATACATATAAAAATAACTGTTCTTTGGGCCATTAATTATCCTTTAAATTTTCACCGCATTGCAGAAAATGGTGGACACTGTGGTTCATGAGTATCTGTCGAAAGCGGATCTGCCGGTAACCTTTTGATGCAGTGTTTGGTAGAGACTACTGCTGCCCGCCGCGCACGGCCAACTCTGCTTTCTGAGAGCTCATTTGGTATATTAGATATACTTAAAAAAAGGGCCAACTGTATAAAGTATATGGCGGCAAAATTTTGTTGAATTAGAAACCTGTACTTATTGAATAAATTGACAAATTGGCTGAGTTGTATGCATATTAGTTAAAAAAATCACATTGGCTTTAGAAGTCTAAAATATTGCTGCATTTAAATTAGGTTTAGTCAAAATTATTAGTGAACCCAGTCCTTCCTCACTTAAAACGTGCCAATACACTATTACATTCATGGGGAAATACTAAACCTGTACGTGGGTTGTACAAAACCTGGGAATTGGAAGGTAATTAGATTTGCTCCAAGGAAGGGAATGATAAATCCAATTTCATGAATCAAGAGCCCATAACCGGCATCAAGGCACCCCTTCCCCTCCCCAGTACTCAATGTAGGGAGACACCTCTTAAAACTATCAAGTTCTCACGATACAGAGGCAAAATATTTGTCAATAATTTCCCGGAGGGAGAGAGTATGGAGGAGGTGAACGTATTCAGATATTTGGGAGTGGACGTGTCAGCGGATGGGTCTATGAAAGATGAGGTGAATCATAGAATTGATGAGGGAAAAAGAGTGAGTGGTGCACTTAGGAGTCTGTGGAGACAAAGAACTTTGTCCTTGGAGGCAAAGAGGGGAATGTATGAGAGTATAGTTTTACCAACGCTCTTATATGGGTGTGAAGCGTGGGTGATGAATGTTGCAGCGAGGAGAAGGCTGGAGGCAGTGGAGATGTCATGTCTGAGGGCAATGTGTGGTGTGAATATAATGCAGAGAATTCGTAGTTTGGAAGTTAGGAGGAGGTGCGGGATTACCAAAACTGTTGTCCAGAGGGCTGAGGAAGGGTTGTTGAGGTGGTTCGGACATGTAGAGAGAATGGAGCGAAACAGAATGACTTCAAGAGTGTATCAGTCTGTATGGAAGGAAGGCGGGGTAGGGGTCGGCCTAGGAAGGGTTGGAGGGAGGGGGGTAAAGGAGGTTTTGTGTGCGAGGGGCTTGGACTTCCAGCAGGCATGCTTGAGCGTGTTTGATAGGAGTGAATGGAGACAAATGGTTTTTAATACTTGACGTGCTGTTGGAGTGTGAGCAAAGTAACATTTATGAAGGGATTCAGGGAAACCGGCAGGCCGGACTTGAGTCCTGGAGATGGGAAGTACAGTGCCTGCACTCTGAAGGAGGGGTGTTAATGTTGCAGTTTAAAAACTGTAGTGTAAAGCACCCTTCTGGCAAGACAGTGATGGAGTGAATGATGGTGAAAGTTTTTCTTTTTCGGGCCACCCTGCCTTGGTGGGAATCGGCCGGTGTGATAATAAAAAAAAAAAAAAAAAAATTTCCCGAACAACAACTAATGACCGCAGACGCAAAATATTAATCAAACGCTAAGTGGACAGCTAAGTCACATCAACAAGAAACCACACCAGTGCCAAATCATAACAATGCCAAGCCACACCAATAAGAATTACACCAGTGCCAAGCCACACCAGAACAGAGAATCTAATATGTACACTCTTCCTCACTACGAAATACAAATTTCATATATTTTTTAGATGCATAAATCGAAATCTTGAGCTGCACTTTGTCACGAGCGTAAAAATATTTTTTTGATATATTTTAGATTTGCATAAAAGAATGAAAATCATAACATACAAATTAGAGTGAAATAAAAAAAGAATCCACGTGACGCGAGGAAGTAAACACAAATAATAGAAAGGTTTTACTTGTAAATGTGTGCAGCATTTTGTTTAAGACGACTCAAGAAATCGTAATGACACGATTGCAAACAAACCATACCCCCGGCCGGGATGAACCCGCGGTCATAGAGTCTCAAAACTCCAGCCCGTCGCGTTAGCCACTAGACCAGCTAGCCACAGTAAGATTCATCCAACTAGGTATATTTCTACACCATAGGAAAGTTAGCACAGGCACCTCTGTGACCACAAATGCAAGTTTTTACAGACGAATCTCCAGCTAGAGTGGCCGTGACGAACTCTAGCTCAAGTCCCTTCACTGCCGTCAACATGACTCAAGAAATCGTAATGACACGATTGCAAACAAACCTCGTCACGGCCACGCTAGCTGGAGATTCGTCTGTAAAAACTTGCATTTGTGGTCACAGAGGTGCCTGTGCTAACCTTCCTATGGTGTAGAAATATACCTAGTTGGATGAATCTTATTGTGGCTAGCTGGTCTAGTGGCTAACACGACGGGCTGGAGTTTTGAGACTCTATGACCGCGGGTTCAATCCCGGCCGGGGGTATGGTTTGTTTTGTTTAAGACGTTTGAAATAACCTTTGAAAAATACAAAGAATTTTATTATTGCTCCTGAGATCAAATATTATTCATCTAACAAAAGAAAATCTCAACAAATTTGCAAATAATTTCTTATGTTTAATTCCACAAGCAAAAGAGCAATAGTTTATCACCGCCGTGGTACAATATTTTATTACCGCCGTGGTATAATATTTTATTACCGCCGTGGTATAATATTTTATTACCGCCGTGGTATAATATTTTATTACCGCCGTGGTATAATATTTTATTACCGCCGTAGTATAATATTTTATTACCGCCGTGGTATAATATTTTATACCGCCGTAGTATAATATTTATTACCGCCGTGGTATAATATTTTATTACCGCCGTGGTATAATATTTTATTACCGCCGTGGTAATAATATTTTATTACCGCCGTAGTATAATATTTTATTACCGCCGTGGTATAATATTTTATTTCCGCCGTAGTATAATATTTTATTACCGCCGTGGTATAATATTTTATTTCCGCCGTGGTACAAGATTGAATCATTCAGAGGAAAAAAAATATTTTAACGTCACTGATAAAGTTGTAGAAAATGTTAATAATTTTTGCTGAATACACTTTCAATAGAGAAATAAGTAAAACAAACAATACTTTACTAATTTCATGAAATATATTTCCGAAAGTGGGAAGTGAGACAGACTTGTTCAGGCGAGTCCAGGGCAATTCAAGCTTAGCTGCCGATATTTACAAATTATGTACAAAATTATGAAGATTAGCAATAAAAGCTTCATTGTAATAAATGCTGCAATGAAATAATCACCTATGTCGTTAAGGTCAAGTTTCTAGTTGTAAACGCATGTGTAACTCAGCCTTAACGATGCAGTGGGAGAGCATTTCCTGCAAACTGAAAATAAAAATTATAGAATTTCTAATTTTCACAGTAAAAATAAATTTTTTTTATATATCCATTATGTAAATCTGTTTACATATTGAATGATTTACACAGTCATAACCATCGTTTCTAAAGTTGGTGTACATTTGCTCTAAGGGGTAAATAATCACACATCTTCAGTTCTTGAGCCGAGAGTGCAGTGCATTTATAGTGTGGTAAGCAGTTCTCCCACTGAGGTACCAAATGAGCTCTCAAGTTCCGCTTCTGTGGCTTAATGGCAAAGAGTAGCCTATTGGTGGCCTTAGGCAAGTTTTGCTCATAGAATTTCTCTATTTTGTCTCTTGTACAGCAGCTCGAAGGCACTACATGATTGCTTTTCTTTGTTTTTTTTGGCAAATCTTAGGTAGATTTGACAGCTGCTGGGTCTGTAATTCAATAGAAAAAGTAAATGCAGCGCCCCTCTAAAGACAACGTATTTCTTATATGGCCTTTACTATTTAAATCTGGACCATTAATGTGGTCATCCGTAAGCCGCTTGGCCCCCTTGTATATGACCCAGTAAGCGAGATGCAGAGGAATCTCTAGATTTTGAGGAGCATTACCATCCAGACTATTTTGGTGTCTTCTGTTATCCAGTGTGATGACTCAAAGTGACAAATAACTCTTACAATCTTGCCATAAGCAGGGCATGGCAGGTGCAGCAGGCAGGCAGACAGGCAGCAGTAACAAGGTGTGCTCTCCCTCCAGAACATGGTTGATAAGCTGGTGAAGAAGGCCAACGCCTCCATGCTTGTCGGGTCTTCCTCCTGGAAGGAGCAGTTCACTGAAGCCATCACCGTCCAGGCTGGTGAGTTTCCAAACTTCTTTTTTCTCTTCCAATCCGTGATATTTTTCAGCTGATGCTTCATTTTCAGGAAGTTTTGAGATTTTCTTTTTTTTTCCTCAAGCTTTATTAATTTTTTATCAACTAATATTTTTTTCGCTGTTTTACAGAGAGTTTAATAGCCTAATGCCTCGTGTCATTGCAAATAATAGTTTTTTTTAAATGTAAAGTGTGTTTCTTCATATATGTGTATGAGGGATATATACCCAAAATTTGGATAAATAATCCGAGAGACAACTGGATATTTTCGTCTTTATTAGAGGCCTTCAAAAATAGTGTGAGAATGATAGTGGCGACCTATAATGTAAAAGATTTACCACGAGGTACTTAACCTGACTCCCTTACTGTGACAATGCGTTATTAACCTTGTTATTGTGACAAGGTGTTATTACACTTGTTATTGTGACAGGGTGTTATTACACTTGTTATTGACAATATACACTGTTATTGTGACAAGGTGTTATTACACTTGTTATTGTGACAAGATGTTATTACACTTGTTATTGTGACAAGGTGTTATTACACTTGTTATTGTGACAAGGTGTTATTACACTTGTTAGTGTGACAGGGTGTTATTACACTTGTTATTGTGACAGGGTGTTATTACACTTGTTATTGTGACAAGGTGTTATTACACTTGTTTTGTGACAGGTATTATACACTTGTTTGGTGACCAAGTATTACACTTGTTATGGTACAAGGTGTTATTACACTTGTTATTGTGACAAGGTGTTATTACACTTGTTATTGTGACAAGGTGTTATTACACTTGTTATTGTGACAAGGTGTTATTACACTTGTTATTGTGACAAGGTGTTATTACAACTTTTTTGTGTGACAAGGGGTTATACCTGTTATTGTGACAAGGTGTTATTACCCCTTGTTATTGTGACAAAGGGGTTTTTACGCTTTTATTGTGACGGTGTATACACTGTATTGTGACAAGGTGTTATTACACTGTATTGTACAGGGTGTTTTACACCCTTTTATTGTGCATGGGGTTATTACACTTGTTATTGTGAAAAAGGTTTATTACACTTTATTGGACGGGTGTTATTACACTTGTTTTTGACAGGGTGTTATTACACTTGTTAATTTTGACAGGGTTTTTATTACACTGTTATTGTGACAAGTTGTCTCACACTTGTTCGGTGACAAGTGTTATCATACTTTCTGGTGACGAATAACACACTTTTTGGTAACCAGGTGTTATCACATTGTTCGGTAACAAAGTGTTGTCAAAATTGTCTGGTGACAAGGTGTTATCATACTTTTTTGGTGACCGGTGTTAACAACTTGTTTTAGTGACCAGGTTTAACCACGTGTTCTGGGACCAGGTTTATACATTTGTCCTGGTGACCAGTTATCAAACTTAAACCGGGGCCAGTGTCATCAACGGTTCTGGGGACCAGGTATCACACTTGTTCTGGTGACCAGGTGCCATTACACTTATCCTGGTGATCAAGTGTCATCACACTTATTCTGGTGACCAGGTATCACACTTGTTCTGGTGACCAGGCATCACACTTGTTCTGGTGACCAGGTATCACACTTGTTCTGGTGACCAGGTGCTATCACACTTTCACAATACAAGCAGCCACGCACTTTTTCACACTAATCTTGCAGGAGGTCTGTGATGGATGTCAAAATAAGCAGGCGATTTTTATTTCTTCTTCCAAACAGAAGGTTTATACCAAACTGATATAATCATACAGTAAAAACATTATCTCATTAGCTGAGAAAGATTTCAGAAGCAGTTATCTCTATCTTATTAATACTTTTCCTTTATGTCACTCAGAGTCTATTACAATATTCACGGGTCATAGAGCAAATGGGAAAACGGGAGAAGATTCAAGGATTGAGAGACCGGTTAAAAATCTTCGAGGCAGGAGATCAGGAGTATCAAGGCACAATACTTTCTCTCCTCCTCTTTTTTGAAGGAACAGGATGAGAATGACTGACCTTTTTGTCACATTTGGTGAATTTTCCCCTTGTCATTTAGTGGTTCCGAAAGTGGGGTTCTCTTACCCTGGACCACCATAGACCTACACGAGGCTCAATCCTCTGTAAGGGGCTTAACCCTCTGACCTCTTAGAGGGGACTGGTGAGAACAGCGCCCGGCTTTACAGACGGGTAAAAATAATACAAAGTCACTGCTAGTAGTCGAACCAGAATCTGGTGCTTGAGAGATGTCAGTGCTTCTCACCCCAGCACAACAGAGCTTTGTTCCTGCCTTCCCTTGCAGGCAGAACCTACGTTTGACCACAGCACCACAGAGCCTCGTCCCTTCCTTCCCTTGCAAGCAGAACCTACATTTAACCACAGCACCACAGAGCCTCGTCCCTGCCTTCCCTTGCAAGCAGAACCTACATTTAACCACAGCACCACAGAGCCTCGTCCCTGCCTTCCCTTGCAGGCAGAACCTACGTTTTACCACAGCACCACAGAGCCTCGTCCCTGCCTTCCCTTGCAGGCAGAACCTACGTTTAACCACAGCACCACAGAGCCTCGTCCCTTCCTTCCCTTGCAGCAGAACCTACATTTAACCACAGCACCACAGAGCCTCGTCCCTGCCTTCCTTGCAGGGAAACTACTTTTACCACCACCACAGAGCCTCGTCCCTCCTTCCCTTGCAGGCAGAACCACTTAACCACAGCACCACAGAGTCTCGTCACTGTCTTCCCTTGCAGGCAGAACCTACGTTTTACCACATTATGACAGAGATCACTGTCGAAGTATCGAAACTCCATCACTAAGCAACAACCCGACGAGTGTTCGTTCACTAGTTCCATTTCAACTGTGTTTGTTGCATTTGTAAAAACCTAAAATAATTCATTCAGATAAATTTTAATTCTAAAAATATTTTAATTAAAAACTATATAATGTTTATAACAAAATATATTATTTTTGTATCTGAAAAAAAAAATGCGCCAATTCCGTGAGAGTATTAAAGTGGAAATATAAACGCATGCAGTATAATGCGATTCTTTATGACAACGTTTCGCCCACACAGTGGGCGAAACAAACAGATATACCTGGTTGGAAGGTACGCGAGTGTTTATAGTCAGGTTCAGAATGCTGCATCTGATGATCTCCCGAATGGGGTTATAGAGTCTAAAATCTTGGGTAGTTTGGAAGGGAGATTGGATAAGTTTGTCAGCAGACCTTCTGCAGTGTTCCTCCATTCCTATGTTCTTATGTGGGATAGCGATGAAGAAGTTTCTTGGCAAGTGGTTCAGCTATGTTATAGAAGCCATTGTTCTGGCTGAAGTTGTCGGATATAGAGATAAGCGATGATTCCAGGATTCTTCGGTATTGAGTGTTGTCTTCTGTGGCGATAAGTCTTGAGTTTCTGTAGTTTATTAAATGGTTATGTGAATTACGGTGTTATACACAGGCATTTCTTGTATCGTCAGCCCTGCTTGCGTATTTGTGTTTCTGAAATACGTGTTTGGAGGTCTCTTGATGTTTCACCCACGTATAATTTGCTGCAGTCATTACAAGGGATTATGTATACATAAATAACAAAAAGGCACAATACCGTGACTTTGGGAAAGATACACAAATAAACCCCACATAAAAGACAGAAGCTTAGACGACGTTTCGGTTCCTTCTTATTTTATTCACCACTTCCCCTTTCAAAGCACTCGGTGCGCTTCTCTCCCTCTGTGGGTTTCTAGCTATCTTTTCATGCTCCCCTTTTTGTATTGACTGGCTGTCTTCTTATCCACTTTAACCCCTACCACGCTACTACCCTTCTTCTTTCTACATCTACTGATGAAATTAACCATGTGCGGGGTTGGTTAGTTTGTTGTGGACGTTTCGCCATCCCCGGTGGCTGGCTGGATGGCGAAACGTCACGGTGGATGGCCCGGGTGTTGTTTCATGTGTCATTTCATCCTGTCGGTATTATTACAATTTTGTACTACTACCTCTACTACTAACCAACAAAACCCCACCTCTTTCCCGCCTATATATAGCCGTCCTGCTCCTCCTCTGTTAGTGTGACTTTGCCAAAGGTCCCAAATCGACCGAAACGTCCCTCGTAAGCTTGTCTTTATGTGCGGGTTAAATTTTTTATGGATATTATACCCCTGCAAGGATGGAACTTGTCCGTCATACTGGTGATGTCCCTTTATGGTGTGGTTGTGGAGGTAGATACTTAGAATGAGGGATTTGGAAAAGATGTTGGAAACATGTTTGGCAATGGAGTTGGTGGGGAGGACTATGTATATCTTCTCGGCAGTGTCTTCTCTGGGTGTGTTGAAGATGTTTAATGCCCGTCGTCTGCAGTCTCTGATGAAGTGATGAGGATAGTGAAGGTTGGAAATTACTTGTTCACTTATAATTTATGAGTATTGTGTAGTTTGGAAAATACTTGGTAGTGACAGTCACCAGGTAACTGAGATGATAGTGACAGTCACCATGTAGCCAAGATGGTGGTGAGGGTCACCAGGTAGCTGAGATGGTAGTGACACCCACCAGGTTATCAGTGAGATTTATCATGATCCTAGATCTGAGTGTAAGTTCTGATTGTAAGGGCGGGGAGGAGCGGAGGGCACACCTGATAAGATTTCGCCATCAGGGTGGAGATCTGAAGCCTTTACTGTGCAGTGTGTACCTGTGGGGTTTCCAACACACACACACACACACACACACACACACACACACACACACACACACACACACACACACACACACACACACACACCAGGGAGCCAAGGTTGCAAACCTCACTCAAGAAGGACCTGGGGGTGAGTATTATGCCGAAGATATCCCCTGAGGCGCACAGCATTCAAATAACTGCTGCAGCAAATGCGCGAATGTCAAATGTTAAATTAGCTTTTAGACATCTAAGTAATATGTCATTCAAGACACTGTATACCGCGTACGTCAGGCTTACTTGTTGTAAACCTCAGCGCCAGAAAGTGCTGAGGTTTGCAACAAGACTAGTCCCGGATCTA